ATGGCCCGCCGCGCAAAAGCCCTTTCGACAAGTCGGGTTTCGGCGGGATTCCCTGTACAGCGTACATCCACTGGCGAAACGTTCGAAAGAACTACAAGTTCCGCACTATTCCGTACTCGGCCGTGGGCGGGTGGTGCTGCGAGACGGCAGGGATGATGGGTCGCACCACTAACTATCAAAGAGAAAAATCCCCCCTCCCCATATCAAAATGGAATTTCTGATGCTGGATTTGCGTACACAAATAAGCCTTGTCTTGCAATAGAGGACTGCAGGCTCGTATCAAGCCGGAGTGGACAGGTTTTGGCCTAGGCGCTCGGCATGACAAAAGTCCATGCTGTAGGCCCAACAGCATGATCACAAACCGCCTGCATAATGCGGGGGGCCTTCTGGGTTTGCTTTCTTGCAAGGCAGACACGATTTGCGACCACAAATCAGCATCACAAATTTCCGACAGTATACGTTTTCAGTATGGGGAGGGGGGATTTTTCCTTACGATACTAACATTTGGATCTACACCACCATGGAGGACCCGGACGTGCAGACTATCAAATGCAAAAATGTCTGGGTCTGGAAGATTGCAACTTGTCATGCTAAATCTGAATCATGCAAAAATCTGTGTTGCATGATTACCACAAGTCGTGCAGTTTTGACCAAGTCGGGAGGGAGTTTCTCGTGCAGGATAGGCATGATAGAGATCGCACAGAATCTGTCATGCTAGGTCCTGCATTCCAGACCTCGTGGGTCATGGAAAAGCTGCATGACAAATCGCGCATTCTTCCAGACCCAGACACTTTTGCATTTGATACAGACCTTGCACGTGCAATTTCGCAAGTCCGGCGGTGACGTGTTGGCCATGCACCGGCTTTATCAAGATGCAAACTCTCCCCGCCCGAAATACCGAAAAAGAACAATGGTTTGATGTCTTGCAGCATTAGTGAGAGTGTGAGTGTCGGCAAAACTAAAGATTTTCGCCAAGTGCTAGCTGCAATGGCAATGATTTACAGGAGGCACACGCAGCACATGCGCCTGCGCCAGTCAACGGTGGCTAGGTTATAGAGCTCTAGAATAGATAAGCTGCTGTGGCTACTTCTTTACCGTTTACATTGACTGATTCTGGGTCTAATATGTACTAGCAAAGCCAGCTTCGCCTGGAAGTAGGCATTAGAAGAAACGCAAATGTCAGTTAGCATCATCGACATCTAGATAACAAATCAAAAAGAAAAAAGCGCCGGCCCCAAAACAAGGCCGCGGCGCGCCCAATGTGGTCGTCGCGGCTCCGGCGCGCCCAGATTGGTCGCTCCATTTCCGGCGCGCCCA